CCCGCCCCGCGCCCGCTTACCTGCCGGGGTCGCTCCGAAGATTCGCACCACCGGCACCTTCTTGACAGGGGTCTGGGTGAGGGGGGATTGGCAGGTATCCAGCCCCTGCAGCGGGCTGGCCATGTAGTAGTCTGCAGTCACTATCCTCACTGAAAACATGTTAGCCGCCGCCGCCACTGCCTCCCTTCACTGGCGACCCGGCAGCGGCAGCAGCAGCGGCGGCGGCTCCCTCCGCAGCGGCGGAGCCCCCTCCCCTTCTCGGCTCGGCCCCCTCCCCTCACACACAGACACCTCGAGGAGCGGCGGCGGGCGGGGCGGTGTAGGCGCTGCTGCCGCCGCCTCCTCAGGAGCACCCGGCAAGAGGCCGCAGGAGAGAAGCCCTCGAGCTTTCGTCGGTGCTGGTGCTGCCGCCACTGCCGCGGCCGCCGGGAATCACACGGGCTCCTCGGTCCCAGGCTGCAGCTCTTGTTGCCATGATGATGATGTCACGGACGCAACCACTGGGGGAGGGGAAAGGGGGGTGTGTGTGGCGAAGGGAGGGCTGCGAGTAGTGCGGGGGAGGGGGCTCGGCGGGAAAGGGAGCGAGCGGGCGGGCGCCCGGGCGGAACACGGAGGGCGGGGGCCGAGAAGGTGCTTTCTCCCCCGCCCCCGGGGCACGCAGTGAGGGAGGCGGCCGGCGGCCAACAGGGCCCGCGCGGGATCGATGACTCGGCCGGCGGGCACGGTCACCTGGGTGAGGGGCAGCGGAAGGGGCGGCAGAGCACCGATCTCATGGATGGGCTTCGAGGGGCTTGCGGGAGGGGTGCGCCAGTGTTCGGGGCCGTTTTGGCGGCTATGCGGGATTGGCAGGAGCTGCGGTGCTCACAATTGCCTCGCCGACCGCCATTTCACATCCAGCAGAGGAGGCGGGGGCAGCCGCGGAGACAGTTTTTCACAAGGTAAGAAAATTCGCCCGCGGGAGGAGGGAGGCGAGGCGCAGATCTCGTGCCGCTGCGGCCTCGCGGGAGGGAAGGGCGGGCTGGCGGGCGGGCGGCGGAACGGGAGGGGCCGGGTGCGGACGCAGCCGGCCCTTCTCAGGTAACGCCGCGGCTCCGCGCGTGGCCCGGGGGCGGTGCGAAAGGTGGGGGCGCGCGGGCGCGGGCTTCGGCCTATAAAAGGGCCGCCCTGGCGCTCCCCCTTCCCGAACGTGCCGCGCGAGCCGCCGTGCTCCCTCCTCCCTGCTGCTGCAGTGTCTGCGCGGGGCCATTTAATGAGATCTGTTCACGCACGGCTCTTAGCTTTGCGAGGGGTTGGCATATCCAGTGCACAGGGATTTCCCACTACCGTGTTTTTCTCCCGCCCCTTTCCTTCGCTCTCGCCCTAATATATCCTTCGTTGGTTTCCTCGGCCCCGCAGGCTGCGTCCCGGGCACGCGCAAGTACATGTAAGGACATGTCAGCTCCCGGTGACCTCCCTCCTCCCTCGTCGCTCCTCCCCCAGCGGAATGTAGGATTAACAGCCTTTCCGAGAAAATTTTGGCCAAAGAAAAAGGCCTGTGAAAGTCACCGCGTTTGACGTGGCCTCCTCGTGTTTTTCACTAACAGGTTATGCAGGGTTTTACTACCCGAAGGCGTAAAAGCACCACCTTGGGGAAGGGCCGTTTTGAATAAACAACTTTATTCAAAAATCGAGAGGGGGTGAAGCGATGCAGTTAGGGAATTTTTGTTTTAAAGAGTAGTAACATGCAACTGGCTTGGCTATTAAATTGGAACCAAGGGGTTCCTCTCTGACTTGGCTGCTGATATTGGGCGTGACCTTGGACAAATAATTTTGTTTCTTTGGGCTCAGTTTCTACATATGTAAAACGGGAAGGTTTCTCTTAAAAACTCACCCTGAAGGGTTTCTTCTCAACAAAAAGATGTAAACTGTAGGAGGCGGAAAGCGTGGGTTCAAGTTCGAAATTTGTCCCTGAATTAGGACCCTTGACACATTTCTAACCCATCCAAAGTAGAGATCGTTCTTTTACATTTATGTGTTATACAGGTGCATTTGAATAGTTACCAGGTTGCCATGTATTTGAAGTGGTGTGAGAGCTACTCGTTTGGAACCGTTGTGGATTTTCAAATAGGAAAATCAAAAGGCCCAAAAGGGACAGGTCACTGGTAAGAAGCTGTCTATAAATTCCCTAACATATAAATGCTAATAAGAACTTACGCTCCGAGGGATTTGAGACTGATTACTACAGTAAATTACCTTGTAGTTTTTAACCTCAGAGCATGATTATAAACATAGGTGGCAAGATTTCTACTAACATGCTGGAAATTAGTTAATATTTTTAAGAGGCAAAATCTCTTAATTTGAAATTTTAGAAGGCTATAGAAGTGATTTTAAAATATGACTACCATGCTAAAATGTATTTTTGGTAAAATAAATATTTTGTACATGCCGAATGTCAGATACACAATACCAGTGATTCTCAGTGTTCCATGACACCTAGCATTCTTTAAATGTTAGTATTTTGGCTCTTACTGAATTACATTTTTGGGTATGGGGCCTGGGAATCTGTATTGTTAGCAACACTACCTGCCACCGCGTGATTCTTAAGCAAAATAAAATTGAGAATCCTTGTACTATATTATAATCAGTGTATCCATAACTTTTAAATTATAATATTCCTAACTAGAAAATGATAAAAGCATCAAATTAACAGATTTGTTATTTCTAGAAAATGGTTTCTTTCCCCTTACCTCTTGAATCAACATTATTTACTTTAAGAAAAGGCAGTTGCAACCACAAGTCAAATCCTTCTAGAACTCCAAGAATGTTCACTCTTGAAGAAAAACATTTGCAGCATGAAATTAGGAATGTTGTGTTCATTGCATGTAATTTAGTTTTAAGTTGATGCTCAAATTGAAAACCTGACAATAACCCCCTAATTAACCACTATCAAATGGGTTTTATAAATATATTCTTCCTGAAGTAAGAAAATGTTCTGGAATTTTGAGTCAGAGAATGTGAAGTTTAAACCATCATTTAGCTAAGTGATCACTTATTTTTTGGAATTTTTTTCCTCATCTGTGAAATGGATAGTAATTTCTGTTTTAACTTCTCAGGGATGTTATAAGGCTCAAACGAGATAATGTATCTGAAAATATGGTAAAATGTTCATATCCAGAAGTCTGATTCATCGAGAAACAGTAAAATCACTTGGAATTGCCTTATCTACATACAGTAGGAGAAATGCAAAAATTGAACTCTATACTTAATATCCTTAATGCTTTTTCTTTTTTTTTTTTTTGAGACAGAGTCTTGCTCTGTCGCCCAGGCTGGAGTCCAATGGTGCAATCTTAGTTCACTGCAACCTCTCCCCACAGGTTCGAGTAATTCTCCTGTCTCAGCCTCCCGAGGAGCTGGTACTACAGGCATGTGCCACCATGCCTGGCTAATTTTTGTATTATTAGTAGAGATGGGGTTTCACCATGTTGGCCAGGCTGGTCTTGAACTCCTGACCTTGTGATCTACCCACCTTGGCCTCCCAAAGTGCCAGGATTACAGGTGAGAGCCACCGTGCCCGACTGCATTTTTTTTTTAAGTGGCTATTTCTTGCCAGGAGATTTGAGATACGGTGGGAAACAAAACAGACATGGTCCCTTCCCTTATAAGGTTTATAGTCTAGCATCGTAAAAATGTATTTTAATCATATCAATTAACATTTAATCATCTCTTCTAGTTCACTGACGTATACTTACCATGTCTGCCTTTAGTAAAAGCCTACCAAGTCTCCTTTACTGATACTGTTCAACATCTGTTAACATCTGCCTGTTAGCAGTTTATAATCTAGAACAGACAGTAGTAGCTACCATACTTTTGTGGCAGATACTATAAGATGGCTGATTCAGTATTCATCTAACCCTCTTTTTGCTTATTTTTCTGTACTTTGAAAGATGGAAAACAAACTACAGTTCTCAGACTCCCTTGCAGCTAGATTGCTGGAGTGAGATCAATGGTGTGATCAGTAAATGTTTAACAATGGCTCAAGAAGAGGGAAGGCCCTAATTTGTAGCATTGGCCAATTCAGTTTGCTTTCTTTTTTAGGAACAGGGTCTTATGATGTTGCCCAGGCTGGTCTTGAACTACTAGGCTCCTCCCACTTCAACCTGCCAACTAGTTGGGACTACATGGTACAAATATGCCCCCTACCAGAGTGACTTCAGTAAATGTGGAGTTAGTTGGAAAGGATGCTGACAGTCAGAAGCTGGCTTCAGTATATGACCTAGTTTCCAGCAATCAGATGTACCCATTCAGGACATGGATGTGACAGCAAGCAACATGATGCTTCAGCTGCACTCAGGGAGATAGTGTCTTCTGACAAATACCATGAAGGAGGTATCGAGTTCTTCTGGGTAGGTAGGGAGGAGTTGTGGCATCTGTTTTAGAGTCTTAGGTGCTGACTGGCAGGCAGTGCTGGGATGGGTTTCCACTAGAATAGCTTTGTAATGTGGGATGGGTGGGTGTTCTTTGTGGTTTATTTTTTCTTAAATGTTGTTTCCAGCTATGTTTATCTAAGTCTGGTTCTCTGGCCCTCTGAGAGATCTGTGAGCTAAATAGTATCTTTTACTGCCTTTTTGCTTCAACCAGCCCAGTCACAGCCAGCTACATAATTTGTGGGGCCCAGAGCAAAATGAAAATGTAAGGCCTCTTGTTCCAACACAGGGGAAAATGTGCTGTTATCTGTACTAAAATATAAAGCTTTTTCTTTCTTCTGTCTTTGCTCTCTCCACTTGTCATAGTGTTTTTAAATTTACTTTTTAATGTCATTCTACGAGAAAAAAAATTAAATTTTTTAATTCTTAGGATGAGTTTTACCATTCATCTTTGTATTATGTAATGCCATTTTAAAATGCAAGTATAAGAGCATTTCAATTGTATTTGGAATCACCAAAATTATACAATTCATAGCTTGTAAATGCATATGTATTTTGTGCTATCAGAACAGTGTAAACTCTGCACAAAACCAACTCAACTATTTTTATTTTGCTTCTTGATGTGCACATATTCTACCAATATTCTCTGTCTTCTGCTTACTGATGAGTAAGGAAGGATGAGAGGAAAGGGAGCGCTGAGTTGCCCTACTTTCCTTTCATTCTTTGTCATCATTTTTCGTGTAAATGGTTGACTAATAGTGGGAAGTAACACATGAGTAAGGAAGGATGTGATGTAGTCACTTGTGTTTCTTAAAGATGCTGTTGCCTTCTTTCTGCACCTGAAGCAAGTTCTGATTTGAATGAAAACTGTAGCCTCTTGGAACTGTCTGTGCCTCCGCTAACTCAGTCATAGATGTTATATGCTTGTTTTGTATTAAATTTGTTACTCTCTTGAGTTCCAGCACCTCATAGGTCCACCAGAATCCTTTGTCATAAGGCATCATGGAGACCATATGCAAATAGAATGGCAAGGAAGAAAGCATACATACCTCTGCTTGCATGTTATGCTCTGCTATACCACTGGACTTACAAAACAGATAGTCAAACATAAAAGTATTATAATTTTCAAGACAGTGACTGCAGAGCATTAAACCAAGCACTGGGCCCTGTGTGACTATACATGTCCGCATGTTCATGAAGTTGATGACTCTGAGCTCTTGGGTTTCTCAAATGGGACTTCTGGCATTTGGGTGAAACAGTTTTTCGTTGTGCAGGACATTTAACATCCCTGGCCCCTGTGCACTACATGCCACTGTAACAATGAAAAATTCCCCATGTATTTCTAAATGTCCCCAAAGAGAAGTTGCCACTCTCCACTGAAATCCTAGAGTGGACTCCACTGTGTATAGCTATGAACCATGAGCCACTACAGAGTTGAGTTAAAAAGGATTTGGAGTTAAAAAGGATTTCAAATTTTTATACCCTGGACAGCAGAATTATGATGACTTTTTCCTATTGTCAGAAAAATAATACCACCTACATTGATGATGAAACAAATATTTGAGATAACAATTCAAAGGTGGTTAGTGGGTTCTGTGTGTCACGTAAAAATGGTAGTTGACTCCAGATAGATGGCAATTTCTGATAGTTTAAAAAAAAAAAAAAAGCAGAGTACCACAGAAAAGCAAAGAGAACCATCTTACCTTCATTATCTTCATCAGGTAGCCCCCCCAGGAAAAACTAAGAAAGTTGTCATAATAAGGTATGCTACTCTTATTACGTTGGATTTGGAATTTAGTTTCATTATGTTTATTTTTTTTTTAAGGTATAGTTCTTCATTTAAGAATATTAACATTGTCAGGGCCGGCACAGTGGCTGAACCCTGTAATCACAGCACTTTGGGAGGCCAAGGCGGGAGGATTGCCTGAGCCCAGGAGTTTGAGACCAGGCTGGGCAACATGGCGAAAATCCATCTTTACAAGAAATACAGAATTTAGCTGGGTGCGATGGTGCATGCCTGTAGTCCCAGCTACTTGGGGGCTGAGGTAGGAGGATAGCTTGAGCTTGGGGAGGTCAAGACTGCAGTGAACCTTGAGCCTCATGAGCAAAGGATTCTGGTGGACCTATGAGGTGCAAGAGCTCAAAGGAGTAATAAAGTTAATATAAGACAAACATGTTACATCTGTGGCTGAGTTACTGGAGTCGTAGTGTTGCCACTGTACTGCAGCCTGGGCAACAGAGGGAGACCCTGTCTCAAAAAAAAAAGTTCCAGTTCTATAGACCTGATTCTGCCTTTGCTAACTGTGAACGTCGGTTTCTATGAACCTCAGTTTTCTCTGCAATAAAACAGGGGCAAAAGTATACTTACCTTAGGTTCTAAATCATTTCATGAAAAGTGAATTCATTAGAAAAGTAAGTTTACCAAGAATACATTTATTGGTCAGGCATGATGGCTCACACGATGGGAGGCAGAGGTGGGAGGATTGCTTGAGCCCAGGAGTTTGAGACCAGCCTAGGCAACATGGTGAAACCCTGTGGGACTGAGAGTTTGCTTGGTTGAGAGGTGGGGGGATCACTTGAGCCCAAGAGGTCGAGGTTGCTGCACCACTGGACTCCAGCCTGGGTGGCAGAGCAAGATCATGTCTCCAAAAAAAAAAAAAAATACATTTATTAAATACATTCAGGGTGAATATTCTCTAAAACAAGTATTTGGTAAATGTAGCAAACAGATTCATTGG